GAGTGCACCCTCAGCAAGTTTGCAGATGACACCAAGCTGAGTGGTGCCATTGACACACCAGGAAGACGAGATGTCATCCAGAGGGACCTGGACAAGCTGGAGAGGTGGGCCTGTGTGAACCTCATGAGGTTCAACAAGGCCAAGTGCAAGGTCCTGCACCTGGCACGGGGCAACCCCCGGTATCAGTACAGGCTGGGGGATGAAGAGATTGAGAGCAGCCCTGCGGAGAACGACTTGGGCGTACTGATTCATGAAAAGCTGGACATGAGCCGGCAATGTGCGCTTGCAGCCCAGAAAGCCAACCGTATCCTGGGCTGCATCCAAAGAAGCGTGGCCAGCAGGTCGAGGGAGGTGATTCTGCCCCTCTACTCTGCTCTGGTGAGACCCCACCTGGAGCACTGCGTCCAGCTCTGGGGCCCTCAGCACAAGAAGGACATGGACCTGCTGGAGCGGGTCCAGAGGAGGGCCACCAAAATGATCCGAGGGCTGGAGCACCTCTCCTACGAGGCCAGGCTGAGAGAGTTGGGGTTGTGCAGCCTGGAGAAGAGAAGGCTCCAGGGAGGCCTTATTGCGGCCTTTCAGTACTTAAAGGGGGCCTACAGGAAAGATGGGGACAATCTTTTTAGCAAGGCCTGCTGTGAGAGGACAAGGAATAATGGTTTTAAACTAAAGGAGGGTAGTTTTAGACTGGATGTAAGGAAGAAATTTTTTTACAATGAGGGTGGTGAAGCACTGGAACAGGTTGCCCAGAGAGGTGGTAGAGGCCCCATCCCTGGCAACATTCAAGGTCAGGTTGGATGGGGCTCTGAGCAACCTGATCTGGTTAAAGCTGTCCCTGCTCACTGCAGGGGGGTTGGGCTAGATGACCTCTAAAGGTCCCTTCCAACCCAAAGCATTCTATGATTCTATGATTTAAATTAAGTGAAGAAATGTTATATTTATCTGGCAAAATGGCAATATAATAGCTTTTACTCTCTGCCAACTAGTTTAAATGGTAGATTTAAAAAAAAAAAGGAAAACAATGAAATTATGCAGTTTACTAAGCCAGAAGATGGCTTTTAAGTAAATTATTTGAGGAAAGAATAGAAGTAATGCTTTTGTTACTTGCGTTATAAGCGTTGTCCTGTGTGTATATGGTAGCTGATGATAATATTTATTCCATAGTTAGATAATCCTCCATTAGCCAATTAAATTCAGTTATAACCTTACTAACCAGCATTTCCCTGACCATTTAGTTAAAGTATTTTGAATGACACCCTATTAAATGTTAGCAGACTTTCTAATGTACTACAGTTTGCAAAGTTAAATTAATAGAGTATCTTCCATTTATACAGACTCCTCACTAAGAACTCCTAATTAATTTTCAAAACTTAAATTATAGCATAACTATAATAATTTCTATTCAGAAGTAATAATTGCTGCACGGATTTATTCTGTATGGTACCAGGCATCCCTAATCCCTTTTCAACTGCTACATGTGAGAAAAGAAATAGAAGTCAAAGAGTGCAAGAGTGCTCAGAACCTCCCAGGATTACTCTACAGATTCATTTTCAAATCCAGGCCTCATACTGAAGACAGCAATAGATTTCAAACATAATTTTGATTGCTATGCTATTAAGAAAAATGTTTTTAATTGACTTACTGTTATGTATACATTGTTAATGACATCTTTAACACAGAACTGCCTGGGTTTGCTCAATTACTGTACAAAATACTTGTTGAGAATTTGTTTTATTCTTGAAAACGTAGTAAGAAATCGGAAAATAACACTAAACCTCATTATACCAAAATACAAGGGTCATACATATTTTTATATCTATATATGTATATATACAACTATATATACACACCATACATATACATCTATGACGGATCACTTACTTGCAAGCTCATCGTATCTGCCACTCATTAAAGGAATCCTTGAAGTTCACAATTAAAGCTTCCTACACCCTCCAACTCCTATTTCCACAACAAAATCATCTTTTTGTCAGCTACTTTGTCAGCACTTTCATTGTTGTTACTCTATAGTTAAAGTGCACAGAAGCGAACAGAATTCCTGAAATACAAATTCTATCCTGTTATCCTTCATACCGAATTACTATGTGAGTTTCTCAGTAGACTTGTGTAATGTGCCAAGCTTCTGAAATACGCAAATTCATTTTCTGCCAGTTAAAAAATAAGGTATGTTCTTAAATGCTGATGATAATACTTGCTTGTATGTTCCACACAGCAGTAGAAAGAATACATTGTAGTGATCAAAATGTTAGTGCTTACAAGTCAACAGCAGCAATTTCAATTCAGGGAAATCCTCTGATTTCTTTCTATTACATTGAATTCTGTATTTTTAACAACACTCGAAACGTTAAGACAAAAGCTTATAGTGAATTCTCAGCTGTATACCCAAAATATCCACAGTCACTGAAATTTATATAGAAACAAAATTGAGCTGCCCTAATATCTGACTGAATATACTCTTAGGTTCTTGCATTCCTAGCAAGTTAATTTGTATGGCCATATGAAACAGACTGGGCAACTTGCTTCTTATTTGTGGCTCATGGCATGGATTTAAATTTGGTATGGATTGATAAAATACATAGCCAAATGTGTAAGAAGTTCAAAGTTATCCAACCCATTTTTCACACAGTGAGAAAAAAAAAAAATGGAGAATCAAATTTTTACCTGATCTCCCTTGCAAAGGAAAAAGTCAATGTCATATAAAAAGGAAAAGAGGACAGATATGAAGAACATCACAACATAGCTCCTTTTGTGTGCATATTGCATAATGCCTTCAAATGCAAAATTCATAGCAAAAAAATCTGTTATGGGAAAATACAGCCTGTATGACATACACCCTCAACAGGGTCCAAAGTACAAGCGAATGCAAGAATACTTCAATTTTTATCAGGAAGTCAAACTCTACTGATGATACATGAGAGGGTTCAGTTATTTATTACACAACAGAATTAGCCTTTGACATGAAAAAATAAACCAGAAACCCAACAGATAAAACCAAGTACTCTCCTTCTCTCCTAGAAATTCATTAAAGGAAGTCTGCATTTGTAAGGCAGGTACTTAAATGTAGAAAGCACTCAATATGACAGCTGCCTGTATAAGCACATGCAGTGCATCCGTATATGGAAATACATTACTTTTTCTTTATCCAGAGAACAGGGTAAAAGCATAAGGAGACAGAATTTTAATTATGTAAGAAATCCTAAGTTCACCACTTACTAATTTTTCAGAGGCTAACACTGCAAGCTCAGTAACCACCCTTTAAAGATACTGGCACTGTTTCATTCTGCATGCTTTATACCAAGTCAGAATGTATAGAACAACCGCCACACAACACCGGTACACACGCACAAATTAAGGTCAGTTACAAATGGACATGCAACAATAGCAGAATAGATGTAGAGAGATGGAGCACCTCTCCTATGAGGAAAGTCTGAGAGAGTTGGGGTTGTGCAGCCTGGAGAAGAGAAGGCTGCGGGGAGACCTTATTGCGGCCTTTCAGTACTTAAAGGGGGCCTACAGGAAAGATGGGGACAATCTTTTTAGCAGGGCCTGTTGCGACAGGACAAGGGGTAATGGTTTTAAACTAAAAGAGGCTACATTTAGACTAGATATAAGGAAGAAATTTTTTACAATGAGGGTGGTGAAGCACTGGAACAGGTTGCCCAGAGAGGTGGTGGAGGCCCCATCCCTGGCAACATTCAAGGTCAGGTTGGACGGGGCTCTGAGCAACCTGATCTGGTTAAAGCTGTCCCTGCTCCCTGCAGGGGGGTTGGGCTGGATGACCTCTAAAGGTCCCTTCCAACCCAAAGCATTCTATCATTCTGTGATAAATAAACAAAGATCACAGCATGAAAGGAAGCGGAAGGAATATTTAACTTGCCTTTTACCTAGCAATTACTGCCCACAAACATTAATGGGTATTTATAGTTATTTCACTGAAGCCCTTTTATTTCCTATTTGAACAGGTCCATGTCCTTGATCCCTCCCTGTCAACAAGTATTGCCAGTTTGTACTTTCGTCAGTAGGATCCTGGTACTTTTTAATGTGCAGGCCAGGTGTTATAGTGTGGGACTGGTTTTGTCTGTGGTTACGTGGTTTTAGTTTTTATAATTACATGCACTTTATCACAGAATGGGCAACAAAGCATTAAACAAACCTTATTGCCTCAGTGTCCCTACCACCCCCAAAAACCACACTCCCTTACACTCAAGCAGCACATAAACAGGGTATCAGGATAAAGCCATTCTTCAGTTTCACCCTTAGCTGGCCTGAGTGGAAGTTAAATTTCTGAAAGGTAAACAGACTCGATGCAAACTTTCTACTTTAGGTCTTCCTTATTTCTCTCCAGACTCTCCTACGTGAATTTACTTTTCCCCAGACCAGAATCCTTCCTAGCAGAAGGAAAATCAGGAGTTTTCTCTACTGTCTTTACCTGGTGGTAGTGAAGTCACTACCACTGCATTCCTAAACACACACCTTCAAATAAAAATTAATCAAGTGGCCTGGCGTGTTTGGCTGAAGAAAGAGAGATCAAACACAATCATTTCAATGACTTTTTATACAAGCTACTGTAATGATCTTTCTCTTATTTCCTAGATTAGCCTCTCCACCACCCCCCCCCAGACTAGTGGGTTTTATTTTTTCATTTAGAGGTCTTGTATAGTGTAATGCTGTATAGCAAGTTTAAAACTACTGACAATAACCTTCCTTTCCCAGCTACCTTTTCCAGTGTCTCTAGTAATAATCCATGAAACTCCCAAAGCCTGTGGACCAACATAAAAAAAAAAAAAAAAGACCCTGAATACGCTCCTAGTTGTACAAGCTAGCTTTGAAAGCAACCTCATTACTAAAAATAAAAAACCCAAAACAAACCCCACTAAGTCTTCACCTTCTGTTTGCATCCCTTCTGTGCCACACCAAGGAAGCACCATGTGTGGTCCCTGCTCATCCCTGTACAAAGAAGACAGCAAGAAAAATCTACTTACTTGGTGTTAATTCTGGGTTTCCTTTTAAGTTCATCATCTTAGGAATTGAAGGTCCATATATGTCTGCATCAAGTAAACCAACTTCTTTTGTCTGTGTAAGGCACAAAAAAACCCAACTATTTGTCAAAATGTCTGTCTTCCTTTATGAATTGTCAATTGAGCAAAATTTCAAAACTGCACATAGAAGTAAAAATATGATCTTGATTTTACACATAAGTTATCACTGTTTCCTTTCTCTCTAAATTGCAATTGAAGCATGAAATATAACAATGTCTCTACAAGCTGAGCCAGACGTCTTCACAAAATCTAGATTCTCCATACACAGAATCCTCACTTGCATTTTCTTACACACAATGTAGACCACAGACTTCATATTAACAAACATTATAAGCAATGTTCCTTCTACTCTATGCACATTTATGCAGAAATAATACATTAACTTTTTAAAAAGGTATCAAATTTTATTGTTTAAAAAAAAGCAAGCAATGTTTGTAAATATATTTGAATTAATGCAATTTGAATTATGCTAGTGACTACAAGGAATGTGAAAAACATAAAAAACATATTTTTATCTTCCATTTAAGTGGCCAGAGTAAACTTTTGCAGACATCTTGAAAATGATGAAATGCAAATCTCTGAAGCCAATTAAGCAGGCATAACTTTTTAATCAAATGCATTTACACAAAAGAATGCTAAAAAATGGGTTTATTCAACTACATATGGTACATTAGGCAATAAACTTTAAATAAAAATTATTTTAACTATGCAGTCTAGACTTACAAAATTCATTTCTATATGCTTTTTTATAGATATACATATATATTTTGTGAAAATTAAACTATTTCTCCTACAGATGGCAAGACACACTACCAATTACCAAGTTCTGCAAATTAAGTAGTAAAGAGCAAGCTCTTTAAAGTGCTGAACGTCAAGTTTTTCTAATACAAAAAGCTAACTGTATTCAACATTTTGCAAAATTGCAAGCAAATATGTTTAATGGCTTGTTGGAAAGGTTAAGGCAGCCATGGGAGCTTTTCCAACAACGCCAAATCAGACTTTCACTGTTTGTGTTTCAAAACGTGTGCTTCATTTTTTGGATGAAGCTTTCATAATTCGATATCATATATTAAGCCATTTTGTTATCACAGTTTTGATGGGAAAGATGAAGAGAAGGACAAAGGCTCAGTGATAACTATCAAGTTTCTTGTTAGAAGAAGAGTCTAACGAGGCTTTTAACACAAGTATACAGCATCTCTACCATTGAACAGGATTTCTAAACATGAAGTATATTCTGTGGCATCACAATCAGTTTGTCTGGTTTTTTTAAAACAGAAATGCACCTGGACTAAAAACCTAGGTATTCAGGCCACTACTTCTAAATAAATCTGAAACTCAATTAAGATAAAGAAACTAAATCATAGAAGCCTAGACACCTGAAAAGCAAGACTGACCCTTTTTACTACAACATATATAATAATGTGGGCTTGGGGGTTTGTTTTCCTGTGGAGGTTGCTTTCTTTTTTTCTTCTTCTCTTTTTTTAAGCTGTTGATAGTGAACCCTGAAGACACCCTTAACAACTGAGCAATTTAAAGTGTCAAATTTACCCAACAGAAGCCAAATGCATCTTAAATTTTACAACTGAGAAGTAAAAAATGCATTACCATACGTGATCTACTGTGTACTTTGAAAGATAAGTTTTTACTACAAAAATCAAGCAAATTTGGGTTCAGTTATTCAATACACTTTTTTATTAAACAGAGCAAAGCATATGTAATTACGTGGATGATTTAATTTAGATATTGTATAACAACTTGTGAAAGCTATTACAAGAAAGTTCATGAGTTACTGACAAATTATTCTACTTCTTGCCTACTGCATGAAAGCTGCAATTTCAAAAAGACTGAAAAGACCCATTTTTATATTACATTTCAAAGATATCAACAACAGTATTAGAGCTGCTTTGTTCTTGTACAAAATGCATATTTTAACTGATTAGAAAGATTCATGACTCAGTCCCTTTATCTGTGTCAGCAGCTAAACAAACCCATCAAAACATCATCTTAGGGCTGTGCCACCTAATCACTTCTCAAATGAAAGTAAATATTTGCAGAAAAACCTACATAGTGTTTTAAACCTGACTGACATCCTTTCCTTCAATTTTTTGAGGGTTTTTCCCCAAAAAGGATCGTGACTATCCACTGACTGACTAACTACAACGATCTTACCACTCACTACAGTTTTGTTTTCAGCCTAAAGGGAATGAAGATTTAGGAAGATCTAAATTAATTAGATTGACTTCATGACCTCCTGGACATGGTCAGATCTTCACCACCACAGGCCACTTACTCCTAGTAGTGAGCAGGAGTGTATCTACGAGTATACCAAATTTCCTGAAATGAAGAATAAGTACAGGCACACTAGAGAAAAATATCCCTCAGTTATCTAGGAGGACTTTGCAAATTCAGCTGCTACTACTACAAATTACGAAGTTGATCTTTGTTTCAAGCTAATACAATAAACCTGCCAGTTTCTCAGAAAAATTTACACACTTCCTCAAAAGTAAGAAAGATGTCTGTTTCTGAGATGCACTGCTTTTGTTTGTGGATATGGTTCAACAAAATGGTTGTCTTCAAACAGAAAAATAATTAACAGATTCTCCAGTTTCTACAACTCTTGTTAATGACAGCACCAGCGTTCCTGTACGTGTGGTGCTTTCTACAGGATTATAGGAGAAAGGTCTTTCGGAAAAATCTTTAAATCACTGGCAGAAGATAGCCTAAGGTAGTTTTTTTTTTCTTCACCAAGCAATTCAACATGTTAGGTAAAAAGAGTTCACACTGCGTAAAAGTAGCAGCTTATACAGAAAGCAATGGCCCAATAAGCTAAGGGTTTGAGTTTTGTTTCTTCCAACTATCCCTGTATTTGCAGTATGTAAGCATCCCTAGAATAGAATCACAGTATCACAGAATCATTTAGGTTGGAAAAGACCGTTAAGATCACCCAGTCCAACCATTAACCTAACACTACCAAATCTACCACTAGACCAATTAAGGGTAGAGTAATAATTTCATGTTTCCTGGCTTGGTGGCTGCATTTTTTTTAATGAAAGTAAAAACTAGGAATCATTACTAGTAATAACCCTTTACTCAAGGTTTAATTATCTTGGAAAAGCATTACAGCAGCTACCAAGGGATCTTTTAAAGACAGACACAGCACAGAGATCATCTCTTCCAGCATTTACAATGTTTTAAATCCCCAAGAGACAAAATAATTTGTATACACCTGCATGCTGGGTTTGGTGGGTGGACTGTTCGATGGGTAAGGAATTGGTTGGATGGTCGCATCCAGAGGGTCGT